TCCGTATCCTCCGCTTTTGGCGCACTGTTTGCACCAAATGTCCGTTCAAGGCAAACAACTCCACGCTACCCACAGATACCCACATCACCTCCCCGTCACCCTCGCTGTGCGTATATTTGTGCTTAATATTACATAACACAGTGGCAAGGAAGGAAGGACATCGGGCAAGCGCACCCCTGCCTGTCATATCCTTTAATGCAGTTGTGGTTGAGCTGTCTGATATTTTCACAAAAATGGATTTCATTTTTCTAAAACGTACCTCTTGATTGCATGGGCATGATGGACTTGATATTCAGGTAGAGACCCATTCCAATAAAATCCTAAAGCAGTGATATGGTTTACTTCATTTATTTCATTTTTGGGAGCAGTCATACATACTTCTCCTGATATCCCTCACCCCTCACTGGCTGTCGGCCAGACTGGACTAATGTGCTTCTCATGTTGTCTCCGCCCGGACTCCGGGCCAGAGCCAAACTTTATGAAAACTGACATTTTAGGTGTGTAAATGTCACTGAGGCAGTGCAGGCCAAGTTCGGCTAACAGGCGAGGTATGTTGGTATGAGATAGGGTTCTTTTTGGAGGTCCAAAACCGAGCAGACCCTATCCCACTTAAGTGGTAATTATTGTAAGTACCGCCAGGGGCTTATCGCCTAACAAATCGATTCGTTGATCGGACCAAAAAAACAAAAGGGTCAAAGGTTGAAGGCTGGGCTTCTTGGGGTTCTGCCATTTCCCTTGGAGTTCTAGGCCCCCCTCTTCAAAGGGTCAAGAAATTTAATAATACGCTTTCGAAAATGTTAACTCAGCGCGCGCCAGTGGACAAAATTTGTCACGACACATGCCATACATTTTTTTGGCCCCGGTTTGGTGTTTTTTGTTTTCCTTTAGAAGTTTTGGTCATTAGAGGTGACAAGGTGAGGGAGTACCCCAAAGGTTATTATAAGTTAGAGAACTTATTTAAATTAGTGACTAGATTCTGTACATTGGTCATGTTTGTGTTTGGAAATTGAGAGATATTTCTTCTAAGAGTATAAACTTTTTTGGAAACTACTTCACGAGACCATCTCTAAGCCAACTAACCTCGGTGACGGACCCCAGCCACTGACGGGGTCTGAACGATGACGGTGACAGACAGGCGGGCGGGTCTCTACTCCAAACTCCCGACCCCGCACCTCTCAGTTCTGAGCTCGGTTCGGCTCGGTTTGGGCAAGCGTTTGATGTTATCTCGCATTCCTGGTGGTCACTTTTCTATCCACAATATCATTTCATTTAAATAGTCTGCCTCATTTTTTTTCCAAGGGGTTTCGTTTTTTTTTGTTTTTTGGTTCTCGTTCGCTGCCGTTGGCTTGGCTTATATTTCTTACCAATTTTTGTTTTGAAATGCACGTAATTAATTCATTTCGTTTTCATTGTGGCACATTCGTCGCTCTTCGGGTCGCGTCGCGTGTTGGTGTCAAGAAATATCAAAACATCACATCAAATAAATGTTGAATACCCCAAGCGAATGTCCCCCCCCCCACTCTATCCAGGGTGCCTGCACCGCCCCTTCGACCTCCTCGGCAGTGGCCCATAAAACTAACACCTTTTGCAACCTTTTGGCCAAAAAAGTTCTGTATTTGGTTTTTTTCAGTCTCTTTTTCGATGTCGACTAACATTTATGTTAATTCGGGTTTCCTTCACATTTGTCAGCTCTTTTCATATTTCATATTTTCCCGACTTTGGCTTTGCGTGTGGAAACTCCCACCCCGCCTCTCCCACTGGGGAGTGGGCGAAGCTCTAGAAACAAAGTGGTAGATCGTTTAAAAAACAATAAAACACGAACAGTAACAGTAACAGCAGTAGAGCAACCTCCAGTTGCCAGGCATTAATTAAACTGTTCTACCACAACAAGCCGGACCCGCCCCGATGGGAACTTTTCAATTATGTTATGGCCCATCAAAAGGCCAATAAAAGTAAACAAAATTATCACCAGCCGAGGGCATAAACAACCTAGTTGGGTGCTAATAGGGGATAGATGTGGCCAGAGATATAGGCCTAATTCAATGGTAAAAGGTGAGTTAGCAGCCTAAATCTTTGGTTTTTCAAAATTTGGTTAGAAGAGTCCAAGAGGCTCTTTCTAAAAAAAAAAAAAGAGATACTCTGCTAATTCATTTATAAACTTGGAAGAGTTCTAAATACTTTAACCCTGACATTTAGATGATGGATACGTTTTTGGGGTTTATGCTTGGTTTTCTGTTTGCTTTCTGTTCGGTTTTTTTTTTCAATTTTAGCTAATTTTAGTTTTATCTAGGTGTCATCATAATCTTGTCATAAGCATTTTCGAGATTTCGCACATTGATTGATATTGGTTACTGAAAAAATAGAAAGTTCCGTGTGTGCCATTCGAATATCTTAAACCGATTCCTAGTCAGTGACAAATCCCTGTAAAAATGTGCATTAATCTTTGTGGCAATGGGAGCGACTTCTCGATTCGAAAATCTTTCTTTCCTGCCATCTGCCAACTCCTGTGCTTGGTCTGGTTATTGAAAAATGCTGATTAACACATTAGAGAACTTTTTGAATCGAAGACTGGTCCAGACTTGGCTGGCAGTACGGGATTCGGCTTGGATGGGCTGGTGTGCCCGCGGATGCCAATATGTCGAATGCTACCATTTATAACCATGATTGCTGATTATGCTGTTTCCCTGCCTGAAAATGGATGACATGACAGATGGACCCAAGCATGTGCGCTCACAGCGAGATGCCCAAGCATCGGGCTTGGGGCATCCAGTATCCAAAGATTCCAGGGGAGCCGCCGGAGTCACGAGGCAGCCAGATCATTGCTCAGTGACAGTTCGGTTGCAGTGAGGCTCAAACGAGAGACTCTTATTTAAATAATCATTTTTTCTGACAGCCAACTTGACTTCCAGTTCGGCATGCCGAGAAGCAGCCACTACCCTCCCATTCCCCTCCGCCAGCAGCCACCCATACCCGGGCTGCAAGTTTCATTCTTGATTCGAGCTGCATCTCCCGGCCGCAGGCTGCACGCTTTAATTGTTTGTTTGACTTGCGGTCGCCCCTGCACCACACAGAGAGAAATATTTATAATAAACTATATTTAAGGATCTCCTACAAACTTTCCTAAACAACAAGCCTCTTTAAATCATTGTTCTCTACAAAAAATCTTACGAAAAGCCTATAAATGTTAATAATACTTCCTTTAATTACTTTTTTGCTTTCTTGTTTGTTATTAAATTTTCACTTAATTTTTTACCGTGCACATTACACTGCTTGGACTCCACCCTGCCACTCTCCTTAGCGCCTGGTTCCACTTGCACGCGTCATTCCAGGGGCTTTTGGGATTGTATTTGGGTCTCGCGGAGCGTTTCGTTTTTGGGTGCGGCGCGTGGGGATCTGGGATCTTGGATCGGGAATCTGGGATCTCAGATCGGTTCGGCCGGGTCTCTGTGGCGTCGTTTAATTGAAAACGATGCATGTAAATGACACTTTTCAGCATTAATAAGCAAATATTTGTATGATTATTGGTGTAGCCAAGGGATTAACGTTTGAACTGTAAGTGGTTGGACGCTCGATGTCCCGATATCACCGATCACCGATCAGCGTCAGTTGTGCAACTGGCGACTTGAACAGGTTAAGTGCATTACGAACCAGAAACGGGGCAGAAACCAATCAAAATTGGTCAACAGGTTTCGAAGGTGGTTCGGAGTACTGCCATGTAGGTAGAACTTCTTTTTGTTTAAAAATAAAAACCTAGGACTAAGTCTACAATGATGAATTATATCCAACAAACCAGACTTTTGAATGAAACCTTAATCTAGATTCTATAAATGCGACTTTCGGAATTCCATATTCATTCAACTACTAACAATTATCTCAAATTTCAGGGTGAGTCGTAAACATTTGCTTAAATTTTATTCATCTGACCTCAAAGTTGTTTAAAAATGGCAATTATTAGCTTAGGCTAGGAACTTGTTTCGTGCAATTCATGAAATTTAAATTCAAAAAGACTTGTTTTTTTCGGATAATCAACATTTCATTTATCATTTATGAATATTTTATACTTTTTTTATTTATCGTTTACTTTTATTTATCAGCCCAAAATGTATTTTCTTAGCTGGCTAATTCTGAGATACAAAACTCCACTCGGCAATGTGACAAGTGACAACCTGACTGACTGCACAGGCATTGACAAACTTATCTGAAATATGCAAGAAATATGCCAAAGGAGAGTCCCCGAGGACGGCGAAAATTATGAGCGGATCTTGGGGGGGGATGGGGGGTCTTGGGGATCGGAAGAATTGAGATTGGCAGCCGGAGAGGGGTGCAGAATCTTTGGCATTTGAAAAGACATTCTTATTTTTAGGTGACATGCCCTCGGTTGGACGTCTCTCTTGACTTTCTGTCTGACGCATCAACTTGTATTTGTCTGATGTTTTAATTTTTTTTATTTGAGAAGTGCTAATTGTTTATATTGTTGCTAAATCTATTTAATTCTTAAAAATATTTGTATTGTGGTTGTGCATATTCCCCTATCTGATTAAATCTTAATTTATTCTTTTCAGCTAATCTGTGATCTATGGAGAGAACCATTCGAGTTGACAATACTGTCTAGCTGTCTGTAGTGAGTGAAAAGCTGAAATGTGGCTATTAGCTTAATAGGAGGTTCTATGGATGCCTCGGGGGCTGCCTAATGGGAGGTTGTCATTCATTACAGCTCCGTGTGCATAATCGAAGGTGGTGCCAACGTGTAGAAATGTTTACAACCTTAAACTGGTTGAAATCAAGTAAAATAAATTAGTTTCAGATACCTCATTACTCTAATGGGATTGTTTTAGAAATGTATCTGATAATAATAGGAATATTTAGGCAATTATGGTAGCAAACAAGATGGTGTAGCATGTAATTCAATAAAAGTTTGTAATAGTTTCTCATTTCCGATATATCTTTTAAATATTTATTTCCTTAACAAAATACCTTATAATTATTTCTGAAACACTCACCTTGTGGCTTGGGAACATTCCTTTTGAGCTGCATCCACTTGTAGGTGATGGCGTGGTTTGGCGATTTTGATTGTGTGCTCGCAGAATGTGCCCCATTCGAGGCCGAGGCAGTGGAGGAGGAGGTGGAGCTGCCAGGCGAGATCACTCCGCCGCGTTGCTGGCGGGACATTCCTCCATTGGGTGACACCGAGTTCTGGTGCTGCTGTTGCTGCTGCTGGTGTGCCGCTGGCGACTGATTCTGTGGGTGCTGCGCCTGCTGGTGTGCCGCCTGCTGCTGGAGCTGGGCATTTTGCTGCTGCGGGTTGCTGGCCAAATTGGCCAAATGCCCATGAGCCAGGCCATGATGCATGTGGGCATGCATGCCCAGCGTGTCCATGGCGTCTAGGGTGTAATGCTGCTGGTGGTGCCACATCTGCGACTGCGTGGCTTGCTGCATCATGGCGTCCGGCTCGTCTAAGATTAGTCCGGGGGCGTAGCTGGCGTGCAATACGGCGGGGTACTTCTCCTCAATAGGCCCGGCGTACCCATGGACCGCAGCCTGGGCCTGGGCCGTGGGATAAGTGCAGTCCAGGTTGGTGTACATCATCCCATTCTCCGAGCTTATGATTGCTCCCTGCTGCTGTTGCTGCTGCGGATTGCTGGCGTTTGTGGCAGTCACGGGTGAGTTGTTGGCGGGCGGTGGCACTGTCGCCACTGCCGCGGTGGCATAGTAAGAGGAGTCGCTCTCGTAGTAGGAGTCCGCCGGCGAGTGACTGGTTGGGTGGAGAGGAGTACCCGGATTGCCCATTCCCGTACTGGTGGTAATCCCGTACTCCGCTGCACTGGGGCTGAAGAGGTGCGAGTGGGGGTAGAGTTGTTGCTGCTGCTGCTGTTGTTGCACCACCTGGTGGTTGCCTTGCGGCGGTGGTGTCAACTGCGCCTGCTGCTGGGGATAGTAGCTGCCGGGCGAGCTGCTCTCGTAGCCACTGTAGGTAAGATGTTGCTGGTGTTGCTGCTGGTGTTGCTGTTGCACCAACTGGTGGTGTTGCTGCTGCAGGTGATGATGCGTCTGGTTTTGCAGCTGCTGTTGGCCAAAGTAGCTGGCGGCATTGCCAGCGGTGCCGGGGGTGGTGCTGCCTCCGTAGCCGTCGTAGGCATTGGCGTGTGGGTGGTGGTGGTGCGGGTGGTTGCCGTACATGCTGCTTACGTCCATCATATTGTCCAGCCGGAACCGCACTTGCCTCAAGCTTTAAGCACTCTCTGAATATTCACTTCACTTGTACCTTTTTTATTTTGGCCACTTGAAACACAGTTAATGGGGAAAAAACGGAAAATACGCGACGGTCGGTGGCTCTATATCGTTATCAAAATACAAACACGAACCGATGACGATACGATGGCGACGTAGACGACGATACGACGTGCTGCCTGCCCGCTTACCAAGTCGTGACTGATTACTGGCGGTCCGCACCCGGGCCAATTCAGGCCATCCAGTTGCTCGCCGCCCGTTTAGGCCACACCCACTCGCCTGGCATACAGTTGTCTCGCCTTCGAAGTGGTGTCGTGCCACTCGCTCGTATGGGTTGCCATTGCGGCCACACTTGTCTACCCTTATAGGCGGCCTGCCACCGGGGGTTAGTCATATATTCACTACCGGTTTTTGGCAGTTGCCGTTTCCATTTAGATTTTCGAGTTTTGTGTTTGTCCATGTCGTTTTTACTTTTTGCCAGTCGACGTGGCAGGAGCGGATTTAAAGGGGCCTCAAATGGGGGCACCTGAAATGGGGGAGTTTAAGATATGGTAGGATCATAGATGGAACTAGGAAAACTTTCAAGTTTAGACCCTTTCGTGTTTAATGGGACCCAGAAGACTTCTCTGAGCTTAGGAAATCTTTGGATATAGAAAACTTAACTGTAGATCATTTAAGCATGTTCTGAAATATTCCTTTACGTCTAATCTATTAAAGAAATGCAAGTATGTAATATAATATTATCGTAATAATGTTGGCCTAATTAGAATTTAGTTTCTTCCAGAAAATTGACTATCATCAATATAAATTACTAGTTTTATTATAAAATCAACACCTTAATCAACTATTGACCTTACTAATTTAGTAATTATAGTCACCCTCAACACCTCATTCGATTTTAAAATAAAATAACACAAATCATCAATCATAAATATATAATAAAATAGCAACACATAATTTTCCACACTTTCTACATTTTACTTGTGGACCTTTATCGTTTTCCGGCTAATCCGCTCCTGCCTCCTGCTGATAATATTAAAAGTTACGCCCCTGCCCATGCTCATGTCGACGTCTTGTTTTAACTGGAAACCCTGTGTTTTGTATTTGTTTTGTGGTTTTGGCACGTTTTAGCACCTAGCCCAACTGAAAATTCCCAACTGAATAGAGGGGCAGGCAGGTAACACCGAGGAGCTTCAAACTAGGAGGGGGTACACCGGGTCAGGATGGGAATTGCGACTATGAGGAGCTGCGGCGAACGGATGCTGACTGCGGCAGCTGTCAATCGTCATTTGCACATATGACAGCTCATCTACGGCAGTAACTGAGGAATTTAAATCGACGTCGAACGACTTCCCCGTCTCCAGGCATTTTTGACTCTGTCTCGGAATCGGACTCGGAGCCGAAGTCTGACTCAGTGGGATGCAATTCGTAGGCGCCCCCTACGAGTTATCCGGTGTCCGTCTCTGTCACTTGGCCTCAGATAGAGATACAACGCTCAGATATCTTCATGCACCTTTCACGCACAATGCATCATCTTTGGCTGTCTGTCTGGAAAACTTCGTTGTTCGCTCCTTACTTTTTGGATTTTCGGATTGGACACTTTTTTGTGATGGTTACTTTATTCCTTTTTTTGTTACAACTTGATTGACATTTTCACAAGTTTTTGTCTCTATACTCGTAGAGCTGCCAGCGGGGAAGGGGCTGTATAGTGGCCATTGCTTTCGTCCTTTGGGATGTTTTTGCCCAACGCTCCAAGGTGATTTGTTATATTTTTCGGACAGCAGCAATTAATAGTAACAGGATGTGTGCGAGTGTCTTTCCTCCACACACTCGCACACACCCCAAAAACTCTATTTAGCCAACTTACCTCGGTCCAATCCCAGTCCCAATCCCAAAACGGAAACTGTCCCACATGGTTTAGGCAGACAGTTATATAAGCCTAGGTATCCTTGTTTCCGCCATGGGATGGGTGGCCAACTTGCCTGAAAATAGTTGCGCAGTTGGGAATACATAGGAGATAGTTTTCCTTCTCAGTTGGTTTTATTTTATTTGAAAAGCTTTTCCAAAATATAAGACTTAATAACCTTTATAAAATAAATAACGAAGAATAAAACTAGTGTTTATAGGAATGTTTTAAGAATCTTGCATTGTTAATGAAGATTGTTTGTAAAATATCCCTAAAAAGTATTTTTTTTTTTATAATAATATATTTGATATTTTAAACAAATACCCCCAACCATCTCTTCAGGGGGAGAAACTAGCTAGTTTCTATTTGTAGCTATAACATCGAAGGTTTCAATCTAGTTATTACTCTAGTTATAATTAATTTATTATTACCATTTATTACTTACTATAAACAAATAAGTTGTATTTGTTTATTGCAAATTATTACATAAAAGATACAATCTTCTTTTAAAATAGAGTTTATTCAACAAATCAGAGATTAAATTAAATATATTTGTTTTAGAAACACTCATAATACGATCAAGTGCATAGTTCCTACAGATATTCCCTCCATGATGGATTACAAATCAAGTGGGCTTAAGGAAGTTCATATATTTTGTAATGACAACATTTTCTGAACATAATCCCACAAACTGATTAAAAATAAGTGTCCGAAGACAGTGCACCAATTGCCGATGTTAGTCGCGCCATTAATGTCTGCCTAGCGCCTTGAAAACGTCGGAAGTAAGATATATGGCCTAGATGACATCTTGAGCACCCCGGAGGCGTCAACTACCAAATAGCCCTGCTACTGGCCACAAGCTGACGCCAAGTTGATGGGGCGCCGCAGTTACAGGCCCCAAAAACTGGCGATTCGCGTTGATTTGATTCGAAATTTGTTACAAAGCTTTGGGTGTCTCCACACGGCAGCTCGTATCTGTCCGGTGTTAGGTGTCCGGTGTCCGTTGTCCGGTGTCCATTGTCCGCCGGCCTCCGAGACGTGACGTGACGAGTAACTGGCGTAATTGGCGCTGCACAAATTGATGGATTGGCCGGCGCCGACTGTCACCGCTGCAAGAACAAAACTTGGCGGTACTTTTCGGGTTTTCTTTGTAATTTTTTTGGTTTTGTGGGTAAATCGATATTTGTGCCATTTTTTTCGTATTGGTTTTTCTGGGTTTTCGGCTGTGTGCAGCTTTTGGCTCCAGCGTTTTGTTGCCTCATTCTGTAATGATTAATTAACTGAATGTACTTACTGCGACGCCAACTTCTTCTGCCTGTTGCATGATGGCCAAGAGTTTTGTTAACTGGTCCGTCGGTTGTCGCCACTTCCATTGAATATATAATTTGGCCAGACAAGCTCATTACGTTTATGAATAGGATTTTAAGCTTCTCCCTGGGAGCGATTAGTTGCCGAATTCATCACATGCCTATTTTTCGGCCAACTTCTAAATTCCTTCCTTGGGGATCTCCAGTTCTTGGTGATTGATATGTGTAATTGGCGACGCTCTACATTTTTGGAATTAAATTCTTTGCTTTGGTCGGTAAAAAATCATAATAATTTATTATCAAAAATATTTTTCACTTAAAGTTTAAATATTGGGAGAAGATCTAAAGAAACTTGTGCCTAATTGGGGCTTAATAAATAATTCAAAATAACGTTACTTGTATTATTTCTTTTAAAAACATCCTTTAAGATTGAATATTTTATTGCATTGATCTACCCCGTTTGGTTTTCATGGCTTATATTTCATTTCACTCAATCAACTTACATCTTCTTGGTAATTTAAAGCAATGTAAACATGGCTGTTGTCTTGTCATTGACCTTGACTACTTAAGATGCAGAATTATGCAAAAACTTCTCGTCAAAGATAAGTAACCGGCATTAAAACTTAAATCCCACAATTCAATGGACATCCATTTCCCGGATAAAGATAGAGCAGTGCAACCCTATTCGCGCTTTATACTTTATCCGTTCACTGGAGCAGCGAGCCAATCAGAGGAGACTTTAGCCGTTCAGCCCCCGTTTGAATAAAACTACAATCCCAACCCTTGTTAAATTTCAGAAAAAAACAAATTCCATACAAGACAGCTGCACAGAAGTATAAAAACAGTATTTGAGACTTTAGATTTTATTGTTGATTGGCAGGCTACCGGGAAAAGGAAACTACTTTCCACTTGAGACACGATTCGTGGAGTGAGTAAAATCATATCTAAATAAGAAAGTCTATAAAAATTAACCTACAAAGCTTTAATTTATAGTCTTTACTTTAAAATTTAAAATATAAATGAATTGAAGTTTGTATTTTATATCAAAAATGTAATCCTTTTCAATGTTTTAAAATTTGTAATCAAATTTAAATATATATCTTAAAACAAGTTATAAGAGTTGCTTTAGACTTTAGTTTAAATATTATTGACTGATTAAAAGCTATTTTATTTATAAAATTTTAAAATCGCACTTTAAATATGTGGTATTTATAAAATAAATGGTATTTATAAAAAATAAAAGTGAATTTCAACCAAACATGTCATTTCCATTGTAAGAATAAAAATATGATAATACTACCAAAATTAACATTTTTACTTTTTGAGTTATATAATTAATACATTTATATTTTTCGTTAAATATATTAACATATTAAAATGTGTTTTTTTAACCCTAAACTGTTTTAAAATTACGGGTTGGTTCTTTTTATCCACCATTTTAAGTGCAGTGGCGCCATCTGTTGTTCAAGTTGCATGAAAAGAGCGGTGCATACTTTTCGGAGGGTACCGAGTCGGAAAAAAATTAAGAAACTTTGTTTCTGTTTTAGGTGATAATGATTAATTTTCATTCTAAATTAAAAAAGACTGTATTATGTGATCAATCAATAATAAATATTTTTGTTATTAAGAATTAGATTAGCTTAGAAAAATAATAGAATAATTAATATAGATTTTTACCTATTTGTAGGTAATATCTTAAATTTATTTTTGCTGTTTTTTGTTTTGTTATTTTAATTTTATAAAAAACTGTCAAAAAAAAGCACCAACGGCACGTTAATCAGAATTCCCTCCAAGCATTAACGAATCTTTGCTCAGATGACAGCCAGAAATTATGGAAGGAGTGCAAACGACCCGAAAACCTGTCGATTGCCTGATAAACTAGTTGGGGCATCTCAGGCCCAATTAGGCGGAGACTGGACTGGAGGTCCCTTCGGTGACCTTGCCAATATTCAGACCCCGCGGCAGATGCAGGCCACTGTGGCATTGGGTCAATTGGCAGCCAGTCTCCCTATAAAAGCCAATGCCCCAAACAAGACAGAGTTGTGTTAATTCGACTACCGACAGGAACAAACTTTCAACTTCAAGAAATCATGTTAAACAGAGTAAGCTTTGATGTAAGAGAATCTTATACCAGATTAACCTTCAACCCATCTACAGATCGCCTTGTTGGTGGCCCTTTTTGCTGCGGCTCAAGCTGCTTTGCTGCCTGTGAAGTCCTCCGGGAGCGAGGACACCTTTGAGGCTCATCCTCGCTACTCCTTCGGCTATGAAGTACAGGACTCGGAAACCGGCGATGTAAAGTCACAGTCGGAGTCCCGGGACGGAGATGTGGTCCAGGGTCAATATTCCGTCAACGATGCCGATGGTTATCGCAGGATTGTAGAGTACACCGCCGATGACGTTCGAGGCTTCAATGCTGTGGTGCGCCGTGAGCCACTTTCCAGTGCTGCGGTGGTTGCCAAGCCACTGGTCCCCATTGTGGCTCAGAAAGTTCAGTTGCAACCTCTACGGAAACTGCCAGCCCTAAAGCCCCTCTCCCAGGCATCGGCTGTGGTGCACAGATCCTTTGCCCAGACCCCCACAGTGATCCACCACGCCCCAGTGGCTCATCTGGTCCATGCCCCGCCTACCCATGCAGTCATCTCTCATCATGTGCCACTGTTGAAGACCTCCCTGCATCACAGCCATAATCTCCAGCCCATTTCATATGTGTTCTAGTCGGAGTATTACGATTTCTATGATTTTAAATAAAGAGAATAATATTTTTATGAAAGTATGTTGAATATCCTGAATAGTCAATCAAGAACTTTTAAATTTGTAGTCTGGTTTCGACTTGAAATATCTCAAAGAATGTCTCAAAGTTAACAAAACAAGCGTCAACATGGCTCTGTTGGGTGGGCACTCGGAAGTGAGGTGGCCACAATAACTTAAGCTTGAAATCCAATTAGCGTTCAACTGGAGCGGCTGCCAGACACCGAAAGACAAATACACTTAAGGTCGTTGCTGCTGAAGGTGGGGTGCGGTTGGTGGCCAACACCAACTAGTGGCTAACAGTTGTGGTTAATGGGAATCGGAATGGGTGAGCTTGCAAGTGCAGAGTCGATTTGAAAAACCGTTGTTATGCATTTGCGCATGAGCTGCATACGATATTATTGATATTAGTGTGCGAGTATTTTTCGAAAGCGAAAACAAATGCCAGCGATCATCAGCGATCATTATTGTTAAAAAAAAAAGGGCGAGGGGGTGGGCTACTACCATACCGTAAAATGCACGTTCGAAAATGCGACTTCTGGGGCCAATATTAATTCCGTTGCCCCGTTCAAGTCCAATTCAATCAAGAAGGCATTATGCTCACCGCGGCTTTGTCACCGCTCAGGCCTTGGCAGTTCCAACCGCCAACCGCCCACAACTACCTGCCGCCGTCCTACCCAACTCCTCCGCCCCTCCCCCGTCTGCTGACCGTACGCTCCCCAATAACAGCCGCTTCTAGTCTTGAGCGTCTCGCATTTTGATATGGTCGACGTTGTTTTGTGACGCAAGTGCACGCCGTTGACATCGAACTCGGGCATATTGCCATCAAGGCGGTATATAAGCCCCAGTTGGACGCTGTTCAAATCAGTTCACCGCCAATTACGGTATCTAGAGCAACCCAATCCAACCAATCTAAAATGGCATTCAAAGTAAGGACTAATTCTTCAAGTGCAAAACAGTGATGAGTGAAGATTTAAAATTAAACCGAAATCGAAACGATTCAGAGGATATTTAGAAAACTTTCCACTTTTTAAGAACTAAAGGATATTTCGTCTTCCTTGGCTAATAATTAAACCCTGTTTAATTTGCAGTTCACCCTTCTGTTCGCCGCCTGCATTGCCGTGGCTAGCGCTGGCATCATCCCCGCCGCTGCTCCCTTGGCCGCCGTTGCCCAGGTGGAGGAGTACGACCCCCATCCCCAGTACACCTACGGCTATGATGTCAAGGACGCCATCTCCGGCGACTCGAAGACCCAAGTGGAGAGCCGCGACGGCGACATTGTCCAGGGCCAGTACTCGCTGAACGACGCCGATGGCTACCGTCGCATTGTGGACTACACCGCCGACCCCATCAACGGATTCAACGCCGTCGTCCGCCGTGAGCCCCTCGTTGCCGCTGTTGCCACCGCTCCCGTTGTTGCTGCCCCCGCCCCGGTGGTCCGTGCTGCTGCTCCCGTTGCCGTTGCTGCCCCAGTAGCTGCTCCCATTGTCCGTGCCGCTCCTCTGGCTGCTGCCTACGCCGCCGCTCCGGCTCCCCTGGCCTATGCCGCCCCAGCGCCCATCGTCAAGGCCGCCGTCGCCGCTCCTCTGGTCGCTGCCGGACCCGCCATCGTCAAGACCCAGTTCGCTTCGCCTCTTATCTCGTACGCCTATTAGAAGTTCCCTAAAATAGGTGACCACGACCCGATAATTGCCGTTAGTTGTTATTGAATAAAAGGATGTGATTTAAATGAATGAAATACTTGTTGTTTTAATATCATAGAGGAGAGAATATTAAGAGGAGGATATTAATATTAAGAGGATCCTCCCCTGTAGAGGAGGATCTTTGGGTAAAGAGGATGTTGAGGTAAAGAGTATCTTTGAAAGAAAGGGATCTTTGATAAAAAGAGACTTTCCTTTTTACCATAAAGGCATTAAACAATCGATTTTTGGAAAGTATATTTCGTAACAATTTATATTCCATTAATAAATAATTAATTATATCCGACTGTTGCTAAATTTTTAAGTACTTAGAGTTGGTAAGATCATTTAGAAGATAAGAAACACTTTATTAAAAACTACTCAGTAGCCTAATAAACATTCTGCTCAAATATTTAGGTCAATGCTGTCCTCTAAATAGATTTACATACGCTGATGGGCTAATGTTTATTTATTTATTGACTTTGAGATTTAAGAATAAATATAATTGTAAATGCCCTATAACTAACAATAAATGTTTATTATCCATTTGTGTGTGTCTTTTAGAAAGCTATAGTTCTAAAGTTTAGGCATTAAGTTAATTGACTTAATTTTATTGTATGTTTACCAGGAAGACTTCTAGACAACAAGACCCTTCACTTTCGAGCCTCTGAGACTTGATTTATGACAAGACAGAAAGTTTATTTCACTTTCGCTCTCGCCCGCCACTTTTCAAGGCCGTTCACAAAGAAAGAATCCGAGACGAAGCAACAGTAACTGACAAAATAACACTTTCTGCTACAAACAAGAGACAATAAGACAATTTGGGCTTAAATGGACAGCAAACCTGCAATCCAACACGTCCAAGAACGCACGAAATGTGCGACAAAAAAGCGGAGTAATGTCAGTAGCGTTTACACGGGACAGCGTAATGTCCATAAAATAGTGGCCAGCGAATATAAATCTTATGGGGGAAACCCCAAAATATGCTACCTCATTCATGGAGCTGGGGCAAACGCTGTTAAGAGCTGAGTGCTGAGGGATCGTCTGCCGGTCTGGTTTTCGATGCGACACGAGCATTGTTGTAATTCGCCTGGTTAAGTTTATGGGCCTCGCCGCGAGTTGCGCATGCGCACTGGCATTAAAAGCTCTCGGCCTGTGTACTTACATGCTAAACATGGGAACGGGTAGCCAAGTCCGTTTACCAAAGAGCTCCAACGGTAATTAACAATGCCAGCCGCCGACTTTGACCTTAACCCTCGCCATTCGATGTCCGCAGTGGCCGCCGCCACCGCCGCCGCCGTTCGGCATAAAGTACCTTGGCATATTTGCACTTGTCCGAGTTGGAAAGGCGACCACGTATCTGGCAGATAAGGAAAACGATTCCAGCCCAATAATGTCGCGTAAATCATTCTGAAGCGGACAAAACAACACCGCGATACTTGGGGAAAGGTTTCTGGCCAAGCCAAAGCTGCAACTCAACTGACCTTAACTGGTTTCCCAAAAAACACCGCACCACAGCACCACATTACATGCATTAAATTCAATAAGCCTTCGGCGCAGATGTTTTTATTGAAATGTTCCGATCGATGCGTTTTCTTTCCGATCGGATGTCTGCCTCAATCTTCGATGATTGGTGTAAAATGGGTCGGACGCGACCGCCTGCTCAAATTGGGCCTTTAATGAGTTATTACTGCCAGAAAATTGATTACAAAATCCAAATGGTTAAAAGGCCTTAAAGAAGAGCCCAAGGTAAGTCCAAATAATCACTTACAATGACGTTCATTGGATAGGATTAGGGCAACTCCCTTCTGCCTACCACTTAACGTTTTCGTGGAGACTTACTTCTGTTTCTGATTTCAAGGCTCCACCGATTTAAAGATCTTCCTCGATCTTAGTTCCTTTCAATAAGATAAGTAGTGAGTATGTTTAGCTTAGAAATATTCAACAATTTATTGATCTAAATCGGATTCCACAGATCAGCAACAAGGGGGCTTAGTGGTGCTGGTGGTAGGCCACCGGGATGGGGGCAGCAGCCACGGGCACAGCCACTGGAGCCACGGTCTTGACCACGGTCTTCACATGCTCGAGGGGCACACGGTTGACGACGGCGTTGAATCCGTTGACGGGATCGGAGGTGTACTGGACGATGCGCTTGAAGCCATCGGCATCGATCAGGGAGTACTCGCCATGGACCACATCGCCGTCACGCTCCTCCACCTGGCTCTTGGAGTCTCCAGAGATGGCATCCTGGACATCGTAGGCGTACTTGTACTGGGGATGGGGATCGTACTCGTCGGTGGCCTTGGCCAGAACGGGCTGGGCATGGGCGACAGCCACTGGGGCGTGGGCGTAGGCCACGGCGGGAGCCGGAGCGTGGTAGATGGGCTGGACGGGAAGGACACCAGCACTAGCGGCCGCAACGAGGGCGAGAACAGCGAAGAACTGAAAAATGTGAGTGAAATTGTTGCTTCATCCTTGCATCTCCTTTCAAAATTGATCCTCCAGGATTACTTACCTTGAAGGCCATGGCTCTAAGTTTGGGTTGTGGACTGTTTTGGTTATCCGGTAACTGCTGCGAAGACAGTGAAGCTGTGGAATGATTTACTGGCCCACAAGCTCTGCTTTTTATACTCAAAAACTCCAAAATGCGAATAGCAATTGAAAAAAATTGAAATTGATTAATTCGCTGCTGGGCAAAATCAGTTTTGTCACTTTTCACATTACTATTTTTTTTACATTTATTATGGTATTATTGTACGCTATTTACCTTATTAATTTATCGACTTGAAACGAGGCAATTACAACTGCCCACGCCACGGGCCCGATATACATTTATGCAATATCCCGAGGCATGCAAATGTGGTGCGGCTTAGTGTCATAGGCGAGACCCTCAGTGGTGCTTTCCTCTCCTCCCTCCAGGGCCAATTTGGAATCGCCAATACACCGCTTTCACTATTCTGCTGCCTTGAGTGCGATATTGTGTTACCTGATCAGTCTTTTGGGTGCAGACAGGGAGATCAGAGGGCTTATAGCGCCATCACAAAACGTGGAACTGACCTACACGAGCAATTACTGCAAAATCTACTTTTATAAGCAGTTTTAAGAAAGGTCTACTTATTCTTAGAATAATTTAAAGATCTTCCTTGAATTCTCTTTTGAAGGCCCTATCTAGCCTTACCTATTAGCCTATAAGATACCTTAAGAGATAAATACTTAAATAAATAAATACACTTCAAATTAATATAACAAATCACATTTTATTCATAGAAACAAGGTAACAGAATTTACAAGTTGGCGACGGTGTAGGCGGGAGCGGTGTACCGCAGGGGCGTGGCATAGGCAGCAGTGCGGAGAATGGGGGCCGGAGCTGCCACAGCGAGAGGAGCAGAGCGGACAAATGGCGAGGTAATCAAAGGAGCCGACTTGATGACTGGGGCAGCCACAGCTAAAGGAGCGGACTTGATCAGGGGAGCAGCCACGGCCAAAGGAGCCGAGCGCACAATTGGAGCAGAGATGGCGGGGGCAGCAACGGCAACGGGGGCGGCGGCCTTGACAAGTGGGGCAGAGATCACCGGTTCGGCTTCCACAACGGCGGCGATGGGCTCACGGCGGACCACGGCGTTGAATCCGTTGACGGGATCGGCGGTGTAGGTGACAGTGCGCTTGAAGCCATCGGCATCGATCAGGGAGTATTCTCCGCGGACAATGTCTCCGTCGCGCTCCTCCACGTGTCCCTTGTTGTCGCCGGAGAGGGTGTCCTGGACGTCGTAGCTGTACGAGTACTGGGGATGAGGATCCACCTCCTCCAGCTCGACGGTCTTGGCCAGAACAGGAACCGGAGCAGGAGCCACTGCCACGGGTGCAGCGGTTCTAAGGACGGCTCCCTGAGCCACGGCAAACAGAGCCAAAGCGATCACAATCTGAAAGATACATTTTAAGAAATGTATTTTCATTCAAAATTTTCAACTAAAAAGTTGATTTTTCCATTCACTGATAATCCTTTTGTGTTGATCCTTCTGGTTCTGTAACTTACCTTAAAGGCCATTGTTTTAAAGTTGATTTAATGCTGCTGTCTTGGTCTAAAGCCAAACACTGAATGTCTGACCTGTGGTGGCCCATGGGATTTTATATGCGATGAGCTGACATTGATGACACCTAATTGGAATTCGCTTTTGGCGCCTCACCTCGAACGGCAGTGGGGCTTGTAAAAATAGTCACGCACCTTCTTCAGTTCTGCCAAATTGGAAGTCTTCGATTGGAATCCCCAGCTGCACTTAATTTGTTACACCGATATCATTTTAATTAGATTATATATTCTTTGGGGGCTTAGACTATATAAGTCTATTATTATTGACCCAAAGGGATACTTTTGAAGCACTTTTTAGCAAATATCTCAAGCATTTGGCAAAACGAATTCCAAAACGGAATACCATTTATGAATCAGGGCTTAAGTCTGCTTTGAACCAGAATTGGCCGTTATTAGCAATTTTTTATAAGAAGTTATGGCCAAGGGAGTTTGCCAATTGGCTAAGTTTCCCACTCATTATCAAATGGCTTGGCCATTTTGTTATAGATTTTAGAATAGAATACCATTAATGAATCTGGATTTAAATGCCCATCAATCTGCACTAAATTTATAGGCTCAAAAATTGTATCGATTTTTAAACATTTTTCTGATAAAACCCCTTTGAAAACTTACAAAAATTGGCTCAAAAATTACTTTGGCAGAATTATGAGTCAGTATTGTATTGAGAGACTTTAGAGAGACTTTTATTACAGACTTTACATTACAGAGTTATGGTCATGGGAAGGGCCATAATACCCAGATTCCAGGTCTGCAGGATACGTACCCCTTTAAATAGTTTCAAATAAAATATATCCTTTATAAAAGGCCTTAAGACCAAAAAATCATAAAAATATCATGAAATAGACTTAAAAATATAAAAAGATTAAAGCAGCATTAAGACCTTATCTTAAAACAAAGTCGTGCTTGCACTTTTACATTGTTGGGCTTAATTTAATTTTAAACAAGTTCATTATTTCATTACCTGTTTCATGAATCAAAACTGGTTTAGGCTAATGGCGAAAAGAAACGCACGGGGCACGCTTCACGTAGCTAGCTCTTGGATAAATTGAATTTATTTGGATGACAGTACACAAAGATACAAAGATCGACCACAGACTCAATGCTACACTCTGAGCCCCCTCTCCGCGCGGGTTTAGCATAAATGAATTGCACTAATTACGCCAAGAGCGTGGCCAGCTGGCAATAGCAGAGCAGCAGCAACTCCACCGCCGCAAATAGCTCGATTTCTGTATATAAGCTGACTGCCGGACCAGTAGCCATCACAGTTGACTTCGCCCTCCCAGCAGCAACCACAGCTACCACACCACTAAAAATGGCTTTCAAGGTATGCTACGAGGAATAGGCCCACCCATGCAAGAAGATCATACTAACTTGGATTAATCCTTTACAGTTCATCGCCCTCTTCGCTCTCATCGCCGCCGCCAACGCTGGCGTCCTGCCTGCCGCCCAGGTTTACCACGCCGCCCCCGCTGTGGCCACCTACGCCGCCCCGGCTGTGGCCACCTACGCCGCTCCTGCTGTGGTCAAGACCGTGGCCCACGCCCCTGTTCTGGCCAAGGCCGATGATGAGTACGATCCCCATCCCCAGTACAAGTACGCTTACGATGTCCAGGACTCCCTCTCCGGAGACTCCAAGAGCCAGGTGGAGGAGCGCGATGGCGATGTGGTCCGCGGCGAGTACTCCCTGATCGACTCTGATGGCTTCAAGCGCACCGTCCAGTACACCGCCGACCCCATCAACGGATTCAACGCCGTCGTGAACCGTGAACCCCTCGTCAAGGCCGTCGCTGTTGCTCCCGTTGTCAAGACCATCGCCCCTGTGGCCACCTATGCCGCTCCTGCCCACTACGCTGCCCCCGCTGTGGTCAAGACCTTGGCTCCAGTTGCCCACTACGCCGCTCCAGCTGTCGTGAAGACTGTCGCCCCCGTTGCCACCTATGCCGCTCCTGCCCACTACGCCGCTCCCGCCGTGGTCAAGACTGTGGCTCCCGTTGCCCACTATGCCGCCCCCGCTGCCTACACCTCGTATGCCGCCCCTGCTGTTGCCTACCACCACTAAGAACGGATATTTCACCCAAAACCCACTCTTTTTGTTATAGTTATACGAACATCCCCTAAAAAATAAAAAAATGTTTTTCATATAATCTTTTTTGTTTAATTTTTAAAGGATCTTATTTAAAAATTTAATCGATTTTATCCGATTTGTTTTTAGTTCCGCAGTGGAATAGGATGATTATTGTCAAAGATACAGCCTTCGTCGTGGCCCATATGGGGCCTCCGTGCATTTCTGAAGGGGATACCCCAGAAAATCGACAAAAAATCTAAAAAATATTTCGTTCTCAGATTTTGATGCAGATTTGTGGAGAATCGATCTACGAATCATTTAAGGTGTTCCGCGGTGGAATCGGATGATTATTGGCAGAGATACAGCCATCGGCGTGGCTCAAATGGGTAAAAAATTGTAAAAAATAAAATTGGTAAAAAATAAAAGGGTTAGGGATCTTTCTAAAGAAAAAATAAGTTGGGATCTTGACACCTGGAATAAATTCAAATAAAAACCCGTATTATAAAAACATACTGTCTTTAAAGATTCCAGTAAGAAAATGTAATACTAGTCTTCCTTGATGTGTTTGCGATTTTGAGTAGCTTATTAAAGTCGAGGTTGCTGATTATTACCCCCAGGTGGCAGCCCTCGAACATGGCCAACCCGAACAAAAAGCCGCGTCTAACCCGGCTCACAAAAGAGAAGCGAAAGGCCAAGAGCTGCGCCAGTGGCTAATGTGGTTGCGTTAAACCTTTGTGTAGGAAATGTGGAGCAAATTATTTCTTGCCCGGCAATTGGACACACATATTTCAGGTTCGAGTCAGCAGCCAGCCAAGAGCCTCTTTGGCATTGCCGGACCTGGCCGCCACCGAAATTGATACCAACAGATTCGAGTATGTCCCAAGTTATTTGACATTCAATTTGTGTGCGACATTAAAATTGCAAAAAGTGTGATTGTTGCTACCGGATATTTTGGCAAGTCCGAAACCGGTCTCGTTTTTCGCCTCCTCAGTGCAAAAATCGAGCATGAGCCACAGTCCACATTTACGCTAATCATGACCAATCGGGAAACACTGCCCAGCCACTTTGAATGTAAATCTCACACTCTATAAAATTAATGTCAATTGTTCTCGCGTTACGCACTTATCACTCGTCTAGTTTTATTAACAACTTCAAGAGTTAAGCTTGCTTAAGATGGATATTGGTGTTTGCGTTTGTAATCCTCAAAGAACACGAGGCGATATGGTTTCAAATTCCTAATCGGGTTAGCTTTGCAGTCTGGGATTTGGAATTAGCGAGTCATTCAGTTAAAAAATACCAATGTCATTGCCTTGGAAGTGTGCTTATTTGCATAAGAATTCCCAAGAGTTAAAAATTATAAATCCATTATTATTTCAAATAATAGTCATGTAGAAAGTATATTGGAAATATTTACATTAAAGATAAAACTTAACAAAACTTAGATCTAAGAAGATGTTCTGAATTAGGTTTCAGGATGAAGGGAATGCGGCTAATACTGTCGCTTGTCTGAAGATCTGTAGCATGGAGAGTCCCTGGATGGTCTTTACTGGTGGTGGTAGTACTCGTGACCTTCATGGGCGGCCTGAGAGTGGGCGGGAGACTCGTAGCTGGCGTAGTGGTGTTGCTGGTGCTCTGGCTCAGGCTGATGCTGTTCCGGCTGGTGCTCGTAATGGGCGGTGTAGGCAGGAGCAGTGTAGGCTGGGGTGGCGGCAGTGTAGGCAGGAGCCACATAAGCAGGAGCATGAGAAGGAGCAGCGTAGGTCTTGATCACGGCAGCGGGGGCGGGAGCAGGAGCATGATGGTACTGCACTGGGGCAGCGGCCACCACCTTGTGGTGCACATGGGCCAGTGGCTCACGGTGGACGACGGCATTGAAACCGTTAACGGAATCGGCGGTGTACTTCACAGTCCTGCGGAAACCATCGGCATCATCCAGAGAGTACTCGCCTTGAACCACATCCCCGTCGCGGGACTCCACCTGGCTCTTGGAGTCTCCGGAGAGGGCGTCCTGCACATCGTAGGCGAAGTTGTACTTGGGATGTGGGTCATCGGGGTACACCTCGTGGGCATGGGCATGGCCGTGGATGTCGTGGGGCTTCTGGTAGATCACATGCTGCGGCTGGTGTGCCTGGTACTGCTCGTGCTGCTCCAGAGGGATAAGTCCCGCGGAGGCGGCCGCCAGGAGGCAGGAGACTACAGCAATCAGCTGGTGAAATAAACCGAATTAGCGGTTGCCAAGTGGCGGGGATTACATCAGCTTACCTTGAAAGCCATTTGGCAAATGCTTGAGGTTGGTGCGTAAATTACGGAGCGAAAGAAGCCGAGACTTTGTCCTCCTTCTGTGGAGTGCGTGGTTTGAATAATAATTTCAACAGCCGCTGCATTTGTATTTATAGACGAAAATTTTCGTGGAGTTGCCGTGGCCTTTCTTTCACTTTTTTTTTTTACTTGCTGGCTTGAAGAAATCACATCGATCGTAATTCATTTGCATGCCTCCATCCTCTCCTTGGAGCGATAGATTTACCCAAACCGATTTGCACCCACGAGTCACACCCATTTCGCTATTGTTATGAATGGGAGACGGACGGCCGAAACAAAAACCAAAAAAAAAAAAAATCGAACAAAGTAACAAAAGTCGTTACAAACAAAAGACTTAGGCGAGCAACTCGATTTGGAGGGTGGCGGGGCTGTGGGTTTTCGTGGTTTTGCTGCTCACTCGAGTCATGTAAGTAACCCAATAAATCGCAGCTTGATCGATGAACAGCATTGCACTTGACACAATACTCAAAGAGCCAGAGAAAGACGGTAAGAGACACACCCCCTCTCACTCCTCCTGCACCACCTCTCAAATGGTAAGTGACCCAAAAAAAAAAAGGCATCGGATCACCTCACATGGATAAGCCGGCAAACAATGTTTGAGCTTTCGGGTGGAAGCTTTTTGCTCTCCGATTTACAGCTATTATTGTGGCAAGGTAAGTGCTCAATCACGGCCGCAGCCGAAATGGCCAGAAAAGTGACTCAACTCACCGCCAAGTGATGTAATAAAATATTCATTACGAGCCGAAAGCGAAAGAATTTCATTTGAAGGTCATTTGTGGGGGAGTTTCTAATAGATTGTGGGTAGTAAACTTGTTTAATAAAAAGCTAGCAATGGCTATAATGATTTTTAAACCTTTTTCCTTCAAATATAAAAAAAATCTCAAATCAAAAGAATCGATCCCAGGTATCAATGACCGTTTAAGGCCAGTTTATTAACCAATTCGATTTCAATTCAATTCACTTCAATTAAGTTAAAGTTAGTTTATGCCTAATCTACTTTCAATAAAACGCTTTAATTAACAAATTTGTTCCCCAAACTCATTACCCGCCGAGCGAACAATGAGTGCTGAGACTGCAAGAACGCTCTCGAGATCCGAGATCTTGTCTGACGTGCGTCTGGCGGCGAGTCAAACCAGTTCCTGGTCACCTCCATATCCGCCACGTCATCGTAGGAACATGAATGGTAGGAGCTCCGGGGAAAAGCCGGCAAAATCAGATCCGTTAGATAAAATGCGAGAACGGCCAAAAAACCAACCGGAAGCCAGCTGACCACGTGCTATCTCAGTGAACTCTCTCAGAACGCCAGAATTCCATATCCGTGACACACTTACGTAAACATACTCGAACACACTCAATACCGATCCGATTATGATTTATTATTCCCTGATAGGATTGGTCAATTTCCAGACTTGAATCGAATCGTAGCGGGTGTAGCAAATGGAGCACTAAACGGAATCGAATAATTGAAAGAAAAAACTCAATTTGACTTTGGAACTCTGGCACTTTGGAATTTCAATGTCGCAGTCCAATTCAATTAAATTAATTGGCCGGCCACACAGCAGCTCGAATCGGGCCCTAATGAACCAAAAATAATTAAGTTTTATATTTTAAGTTCGCACTCGGCAAAGTATATCCTGATTTTGGAGGCGGATGCGGTTGCAGAGGAAACAGTATGGTTATGTGGGAAACATTTGTTTATTTTCTTGGGGGCTTTCGTATAACTATAACAATTAGGATTTTAGGGGTTTGGTGGATGGCTAATGGAGCTTAGTGGTGGTAGGCAACAGCGGGGGCGGCGTACGAGGTGTAGGCAGCGGGGGCAGCATAGTGGGCGACGGGAGCCACAGTCTTGACCACGGCGGGGGCAGCGTAGTGGGCAGGAGCGGCGTAGTGGACAGCGGGAGCCACAGTCTTCACGACAGCAGGAGCGGCGTAGTGGGCAACTGGAGCCACGGTCTTGACCACAGCAGGGGCAGCGTAGTGGGCAGGAGCGGCATAGGCAACGGGAGCAATGGTCTTGACAACGGGGGCAACAGCGACGGCCTTGACGAGGGGTTCACGGTTCACGACGGCGTTGAATCCGTTGATGGGGTCGGCGGTGTACTGGACGGTCCTCTTGTAGCCATCGGCATCGATCAGGGAGTACTCGCCGCGGACCACATCGCCATCACGCTCCTCCACCTGTCCCTTGTTGTCGCCAGTCAGCTTGTCATCGACTCCATAGGAGAAACGGTACTGGGGATGGGGATCGTACTCCTCAGCGGCCTTGACAACGACCTTCTGGGCCACAGCCACGGGAGCGGCATAGGCGGCCACAGCAGGGGCGGCGTGGTACACCTGGGGGGCAATTGGGGCGTAGCCGGCGCTGGCCACGGCAACGAAGGCAAGAGCGAACACAAACTGTAAGGATAAAATATAGTATTAATCTCCAAAGTTCCAGATCCTTTATGTAACTCCCTGTGAACCTACCTTGAATGCCATTTTAGCTTAGTTGGGTTTTTGGGTTGTTCTTTGCAGAAAGAGTGGAAGCTGAATGATGTCGCTTCTGGCCCGGCCACTGGTTTTATAGCCCTCGCATGCACTTTCCTGCCGGCCAAGTTCGCGGTAGCTTGCTGGTAGGTAAGGTGCTTACTTTTGGCCTGGCCTTCTGCATATCATGCCACGAATTAGCGCGAAGTCACCGCTTGACGCTTGCGTCGCCGGCGACGCCGGCAGCCAAGCCGGCAGAGGGCCAAGAGAAGAGATTGTCGAATGCGAGGCGGCCAAGTGCAGTCCAATTATTTAGAAAGGATTCGGCGGGATTTCCCTTCTGCCTTATGCCCACGTACAAATTGGTCGTTGTGAAATGATTGCATCTGCTAATGGCAATCCGAATTAATCGCGGATCTTCTCGAGAATTGGGTTCGAGGATTTGCTTGGGTGGCCTTGGTTCCTTTGATTGTTCAAAATGGGAGATAAGTCTCTTATGCAATCCAAATTGGACAGTGATTTTGCAAAAAAATTATTAAAGTATATAATTCTATCCAGGATATATATTGCTTACTTATCCGGGGATTTTTTTTCCTCTAAAGCCTGGATGAGCTGTACAATATGTTGTTAATATTTCCTAAACCCTATTCTAAATTATTATATTATAATTATTAAACCCTATTCTATTCCTAAACCTATTATAGAACCTATTTTTATATATTATAGATTTTGCAGAAATTTCTTAATGTATATAATTCTATCAAGGATATTGGAAACTTATCAGGATTTGGTTTTTTCCTAAAAGCCTTGATGAGCTAATTTCCTAAACCCTTTTCTTTATTCGCATACCTACTTGTATTATAGAACTTGTGTATAGGTTCTCCAGCCCCCACTCTTATAAGCCCTAAGCAACAGTTGAATGTCCTCAAATATAATTTTCAAGTTACATAACAATATTAAGATTACCAAAACCGTCTCCAAAATAATCGAATCATCTACAAAGAATTACAGCACACCGTGAGCTTAAGAAGATTAATAGAGCTAAAAATCAGAATCTCGAACCGCAATAAATAAACAATGAGACTGCGAAATAAAAGACCGGACAAATGTTTGGCGTATTCCATTTTTTTGCAAAGTAATCTATTCAAATAATTAGGCTGCCATTAAGTCTGACCAACCCTTTTGTTTCGGAGCCAAACCTTTCGCCGGAGATCTTTCACCTCTCATGCTGCCTTAACGGCTTTCAGAATCTTTGGCCAAAAGCGTTCGCATTTTGCACACCCACAGAGCTTAGCGCCACGAACAGGAAGTACAAGTTATTGCCCCGCCAACAATCGAGAGTCGAGAAACATTAAATATAGTTCGCTGTCACCGCGAAAATAGCGCTCGCCGCCAGTGAACTGAATCGAAGCAGAGCGGATTTGATCTGGGCAGAGCTGGCAGCTTGATTTACTATAAAAGTTGACGACTGGGGCCAGAAAAGTATCATTCGCCGACCAAGTTCACTTCTGCAAAGAACCCAATCAGCTCTCAGAACACAATGGCCTTCAAGGTGAGTTTTCGGGACACAAACGGATAAAGGATATAGAAATCACTAATAAACTCTACATTAAAGTTTGTCTTCGCTCTTGCCTTCGTGGCCGTTGCCAGCGCTGGATACGCCCCCATTGCCGCCCCCCAGGTCTACCACGCCGCCCCGGCTGTGGCCGCCTATGCCGCTCCCGTGGCTGTGGCCCAGAAGGTCGTCGTCAAGGCCGCCGAGGAGTACGATCCCCATCCCCAGTACCGTTTCTCCTATGGAGTCGATGACAAGCTGACCGGCGACAACAAGGGACAGGTGGAGGAGCGCGATGGCGATGTGGTCCGCGGCGAGTACTCCCTGATCGATGCCGATGGCTACAAGAGGACCGTCCAGTACACCGCCGACCCCATCAACGGATTCAACGCCGTCGTGAACCGTGAACCCCTCGTCAAGGCCGTCGCCGTTGCCCCCGTTGTCAAGACCATTGCTCCCGTTGCCACCTATGCCGCTCCTGCCCACTACGCTGCCCCGGCTGTCGTGAAGACCGTCGCTCCCGTTGCCCACTACGCCGCCCCTGCTGTCGCTCCCGTTGCCACCTATGCCGCTCCTGCTCACTACGCCGCCCCCGCTGTGGTCAAGACTGTGGCTCCCGTTGCCCACTATGCCGCCCCCGCTGCCTACACCACCTACGCCGCCCCCGCTCCAGTTGCCCACTACGCCGCCCCCGCTGTGGTCAAGACCGTTGCCCCCGTGGCCCACTATGCCGCCCCAGCTGCCGCCTACACCTCGTACTCGGCTCCCGCCGTCAGCTACCATCACTAAGAACGAAGGACCCGGAGACACACCTAGGCTCAGAGGACTCTGAATCGAGGACTCTGAGTTGTACATAGAATTGTTGGCTTTATTATTACTGTACATTTATTTATTGACAGCACCAATAAAAAAATGCATACGAGTATGTAGATATATCATGAACATAAAGAGATTTTAAAAATGCTTTTTTTGGGGTACATTGGGCAATAAAGTAGAGATTACAGTCTAAACTAAAGTATTAAATATTTTTATTAGGCAAGCCATTTAATTTTAATTAATTTATTAGACTATCAATAAATAACATTAAAATATGTAAGAAAGATACCCACTCCTAAGACGAACACCCAACTGTCCATCAAGTATTTTTCTCTGTGTCCTTTCCGAGGACTCTGAAAGTTCGTTCACATTATCCTGTTTGGCTTTGTATTATTTATGTGCCTGTTTTCATAACGTGTTTTTTTTATAATTTCATTTTTTGTGCGAAAAAGTTCACAGACATCATAGGACCTCGAAAATAAGAGAATTTCTGCAGTCTTAGAGCAATGCAATTCCTGTGGTGCTTTCGGCGGTGGTGCAGTCTGGACTTTTGTTTTCAGAACCGTGATCCGTGATCGGCGATCCTTTAAGGATGCTGTCCTTAGTGGCGAGGGCAACGAACTGTATTGGCCTGCTTGAAGCAGATCCTGATTTAGATCCCTCTTCCCCTCGCCGTGTGTCTGTCTGAAGGGGCAGACAAATTCCTGGGCTTTGTGTCGGTCATTTCCATTTGAATGAGGATAAGAAGGACTCGGCTACCGCAATGCAAAGAGAGGTTCTTTATTGTTGTTGCCGTTTGTAATATAAAACGGAAATTATGGGGTCATGACATTACTTGCCGGGTGATAAATAGTCTTACAACTCATCGGGGGAGCTGGAACAGACAATTAAAATGCAGTTTATCCTCGAAGTTCTGGATTCTATTTTCCCACAGCCGAAACTAGATATATTTATGTGCGACTAGATTGTTCTGAACACCTGCTGCTGTTTTTGGCCAAAGAATTGTTCTGAAGCTGGCCCCTGATTTCTGGAGGGGCTGACCAAGGTCAGACATAAGTGTCTACCTACATATATGTGAGTAATTTTAGCTAGCCAACTGCTTCCCTCGATCTCACCCTTTTGGTCTTTTTGCGATTTTTGCCCAGGTCCGACTAATCAAGTGGAAGATTTCTGATTTTGGGTGCTCTTCTGTGCTCGTCGATACGAAGCCAAAACCCTTCTCAACTTCATCATCATCATTATCATCCAGCGAGCAGCCAACAACAATGCAAACTGACAATGCAACCGAACAAAAAAACACAGAAAGCCCGATCCCGGGGAAAAAACAAAGGGAATTGGGTAAAAAGCGAAAACAAGCCCGATCAAGTGAGCTGAAGGATCGTCGAACCTCACTTTGGACCAGGCCCTGTCCCTGTCGGAGGGGTAAACAGGCTTTCGATCCCTGGCAGTCGTATAAATACGAGGATGCCTCTCCCGGTAGCCTCATTCAGTGTTTTGTGTTGAGTCCGAGAGGTTCAGGATCAGGAGCAGCTTGCGATCGCGCCTTAGGGTCCCTGAGACCCTATCAAAAAAAGCAAAAGCCCATCTTTGGATAACATTTCTCTTGATATCAGCTGCGCCCAGTCCACCAAGTGGCAGATATGTGGAGGTACTAATACACTAACATTCCATTCTAATAGTCTGGATAATTAAATATCTTTATTTTAAAGATCTCTCTCCAAAGTATCCGCCAGCAGCTGCCCTCTAAAAATAATGCAACAAAAATAATCATTATTTCGGTCCAAGCACACTCACCCACCGCAGGAAGCCCAAAATCCGGCCTCTTCTTAATGAGGTTGGCAGAACCGGACCCTTTTCAACACCTGTGCAGCTGGGGCCCAATCAGGGCTAGCACCTGGCCAGAACACCTATTGGCACTCATCATGGAACATTGAATCGTTGGAAGGCCGCCGAACACCGCACCACAGCCATCCACCATCCATCCAACCATCCATCCATCACCACCAAACGTTGTCTCGGCCCTTTGGACAAAATTTACATTTGAGTTTAAGTTTAGGTGTAAACAATAAACAAAAAACAACAATAGGCTACCAAAAAAAAGTAAAAAGCGAAAAAAAAAAAATCCACCCAAAAGTTTATTTATTATTTTTACTTGGGGTTCTTATCGAGTAGTTGGAATCGATTGATCCGATTTGTAGTATTACAAAAAAATCTTTCCAGAAGCTTATAAGCCAGTGATCTATTAGTTCAATGAACTCTCGATTATGGTTCTAAGGGGTAACTTTCCTCAGCCATATTTCCGAGCCAACTAGGTCCCCTGTGAGATTATTATTGGATTACTTAACAAGGCTATTAAATATTTTTGTAATCAATCTCTAGACCCTCCCATAATATCTGCCACCTCCTGTGACTTTTACTTTTCTTCGCAGTGATCATAGAAACAGCTGAATGAAATGATAAAAATATTTCGTTATGATTACTTACAAGAAAGGTCGCAATGCGAACAATAATTTATGTGTACCAAGGTCAGGCCCGGCATCAAAGCCTATATAACTATAACTATATCACCGAATGTGAGTATCCACCGTACAGTCAGCATATTTTTAAGGTTTAAGGTGCTCACAGGTGGCAGTACCGGTGATGGTGATGGCGATGGTGCTACTGCCAAAAATAAGCCATAAAGAAAATGGTAAGTGAACTGGTTTTGTGTGCAAGTTTAATTGGCATTATTCGTAGTGACTGACTGACTGGCCGGCTTGCTGGACTGACTGACTGGACTGGACAGCGTTTACTTCGTATTGTAATTCCCATAAACTATTTTCAGCTTAACCGTTTTTGGTAGATTGCGCTCGCCGATGACGATTAACCCAAACAAATGTCAGTGGTCGAGTGCTTTGGTTGAGTTTCCTTCAGAAATTAAGCAAACTAAATTGTAATTAACAAAGGTTTTTTTTTTCAACAAATGTCTTACTGTTGACGGTCGGCTGTTGGCTACTGAAGTGATTATTTTTATTATTTTCAATACGAATTTTGTTTCGTTGGAATTTTTTAATTCCACGCAGCAGCATTGACCTCCCAGCCGGTCAGGGGTGTCCGTTCATTGCTAATTAAATTAATTCAACATGGCTTTTACTCCCTTTTTCCGCACTATCCTTGGGGGAATACGGGATGGCAGACATTTTCCGACATTATTTAGGTTTTAGCCGGCACTCGACATTGACACACGAACAGCAAAACAGCTCAACCAATTTCCAGCAAACACTCGGCCCGGTGATCAATCTTAAATTTTCACCGCTTCTGTCAGAAATGTGCGTAGCCGACGACATGGGACGACATCGGCATCATGTGGCTTAGTTCCTGGTCCAGTGCCCAGAACCTCTTACCCGAATACCTTGAAACGTTGACAGGCAAAACCCAAAATGCTGGTTGACGAATGGCCCAGCCGGAGCCAGAGGGTTTCCTCTAGGGAGAAACTCCAAGCTGTGAAAATTCGGTGTGCCTGCATATGAAAAACTCTCTAAATGAAGCATGAATGTCGACACGTTTTTCTAAACAAATAAAATTAAATAAAAAAATCTGCAAGCGCTTAAAGAGTACAGAAACATTAGAGTTTTAAAAATTAAGAACAATGTTCCGATTGTTTACTTTTGGATTGCGAAAATATGCCTCAACATCCCTTCTTGTGGCATCCCATCCATCATCCAATGTCAATAATCGGATATTGGAATATATTGCGAAAGATTCACAAAGATGTTACTTCATATTCATATCTTAATTAGTTTTTATTATTTCTCCTTACAAAGATATCTAAGCCAGTATTCATTATCATATTTATATTATATATATTTGTTTAGTTTTTACGGAAAAATTTAGAGCAACATACAAACATTAAAAACATTGAAATAATTGAGAGCTTCTTAGGATTCTAAATCATAGGTTTTCTTTGCGAAATTGCACTCGAATCGGGAGGGATTCAAATTTTGATTTCTAGTTCTTAAAGTTACGATTTAATGACAGTTTTTATTTTTTGATTTAAGCTACATTAGATATTTACAAAACACAATTAATTAAAGGCTCTTTAAGTGACTTGTGGAAAAGGTATTACATTTTTCTAACTATGTACAATTATCGTCTTTTATTTCTGAATGGAATCTTCGCGGCAGGGTTTCCGTTTGACTTGGAGCCAACAGAAAACTTATAGACATTTAATATTCCTTTAGCCTAAGTACGAATGGAATAGAACTCTTGATTGGGGGCTAGATCGTAGGTATTTACAGATATGTGCTACGGAAAGTGCTATGTGCCTACAACAACACTGACGGGAACTACACGACTCTCGCGCACTGGGCTCGAATTGGGCTAAGAGCTATTTACAGGGTCCTCGGGATGACTGCTGGCTGCCTCCTACATGAACTAACTGAGTTGGTAGTACTCCGGCGCAAAATCGTTGGCCAGGTTGCTCAGGAAGTTAAAGTCCGAGGAGCTGTTCGAATTCTCCAGGCCCCCGATGGCGGCTCCTGCCGCGTTATTGGCGCCATTCCCGAATCCCTGGGCCGCAGGTCCCCCTCCGTTCAAGGCGAAACCATGGATGTGCGATGGCGGCGGTGGCGGAGGACCAACCCCCACTCCGGTCGCCTGGGCTGCTGCCGGATTGTGGTGGGCATGGAGGTGGGCATGCGCCTGCGCCTGGACCTGCACGTGGTGCGGATGTGTGTGAGCATGTGGGTGGGCATGGGGGTGATGGCCATGGGAGTGGGCGGCTGGGCCGGGGGGTTGTTGACCCGCCTCGTAGTAGCCGCTGGCACTGCCTCCCCCACCGCTTCCAAAGTTGTTGTAGCCTTCGCAGTTCTCCATTTGCAATCCCAATGCACTGTAGGTCTCACCGGCTCCCAGGTGATGCATGTGCCTGAGAAATACAGAAATCGATGAGTATATTTTGTCCTAAGGAGGATATCTTAAATTCACCTTAATATTATATAATCTTGAATATTAAATACATTAAATAAATACATGGCATTAAAATTAAAATTGCTTAAATAGAGGCGCCATCTACTTCATTAAACCAAAAACTGCGCATGGTTTAAGGCCTGGCTAACAAAACAGTGTTAATAAACACACAACTCCTGTCTTAGCGGAGACAGAGACCCCCATTTACGATAAAATTTACGGTATAACTAAAATATCTTTAAAATTTAATTTTAAAGATTTATTTTCTACTCACTGCTGTTGATTGATTGCCGCTTGCTGGTGTTGTTGCTGCTGCTGTTGTTGCTGTTGAAATACTACGGATTGGTGCTGGTGCTGGAAATTCATATTATCGTAGTACGAGCCATTGTTAAAGTTGTTTGGCCCATTAACAGGAGGCCCATCGAAGTCGTTAACATGATGGTGCTGCTGCTGGTGGGGGTGTTGCTGGTGGTTCATGTACGCACTACCATTGGAGTCGTTGTAGTTGTAGTAGAACTGCTGCTCGTGTTGTTGCTGCTGTTGCTGCTGTTGTTGACTGTTTTGGTGAAAACCGGCAGCATTTGGTTTGGGACTTAGATATTCGCCGTGCAGCGCCTGCTTGTGGTGTGGTGAGCTGGCGAATTCAATATCGTATTTGCCGTAATAGTCCTGCGGTTGCTGCTGTGGTTGTTGCTGTTGCTGCGGGTGCTGCAATTGCTGCTGCATCTGATGTTGCTGCTGCTGCTTGGGACTAGGATAGTAGCCAGGAAAGTAGCCGCCACCTGCACCATTGCCACCATTGCTGTCGCCGAGTGGCGTGGGCGTGGCAATGGCATTTGCAACGCTCTGGAAACGCTTCTTGGCACCAACCTTTGCGGTGGGTGTATTTCCGGCGGCGGATGATTCCGAATCCCGCCGAAAGTTGACCAGACTGGGTGTGGAGTTCTCGTAGCCGAAGGGCGAGGCTTTGGACGAGGTGGAAACGGCCTCCTTTTTGATTATCTGTTGAAGAAACTATAACCTTAATACTGATACCTTTCAAAAAAATCTAGATGTCTCACCTGTCCCTCCTCTTTCTTTTTCACCTTGATGGGGCTCTCCTCGATGTCCTCGTCCAGACTGACACTAGATGCCACACTGGAGTCGGCACTGATCACATTCGAGGCGGATACGGTGGTGCTGCCCAGAAGATTCGACGAAATGCCCGTTTCCAAAGAGGAATTGGGTGTCACTGGGGGATATGGGATATACTATTAGTTATTTTATTCAAAAATTAAACTTTGTACAATCTTACGGCTTCCGGCACTGGGATTATTGTTGGTGGCGCTCGGGGTATTGTTGTTGTGGCCCCGGGAATTGGACGTCGAATCCGGAATATCATCGGAGGGCAGCTCGCAGCCTTGACACGATTTCTTCGAATTGGAGTCTGCATTTCAAGGGAAGGTAAGATAATAACAAATCAGTAGGTATATATGCTTGGGAATATTGATGATTTGTTCTCATCAGTGGAGGATTGAGACGAGTCCCTGAGACAGGAGGAGGTGGTAGAGCCAAGAACCAAAGACGAAACTCTCACGCGAAAGGGGTTAGCGCGTCGAGAGCCGCCCTGCCAAAAGTTGTTCCAACCCATCCCATCCACTGACAATGATTGATAAGCTACACCGTCTCTCACTTCTGAGTAAAAGCCTCGAAACGAAATCATGCAAAACCGAAAAAGTAAAAGTGGAACAACTTGTTGGCAAACTCCAAAGAAAAAAAAAAGCGAATTTAATCTTTGGTACAGTTCTCAAATCTCCAATTTGGGTATGATTTTATAGAATATTCAATGGCACTTACTGCTATCGGACTGATCATCGTCACCTTTGAGACTGTCCTTGTTGTCCTCGTCGTCCGTTTTGGAGAGCGTCTGCCTCTTGTGCTTCATGCGGCGGTTCTGGAACCAAACCTTTACCTGCAACACCAAGATTCCGATTAGTTCCGACTAGTAACGCCAAGGAGTGTGCAATTAAAAAGTGGTAGAAGTGGTGCAAAAACGGTAGAACGCGGCTGAAATACGGCTGTCAGCCCTGGCACCGGGCTATTTGTCAGCGAAGTAATGGAATTTCTCAGCCGTGTGCTGCGGAATAAATTGCATTGGCAGAGGTGGAGGAACACACACTCACCTGTCGCTCGGTCAGATCCAGGCTGGCTGCTATTTCGATTCTCCTTGGGCGGCATAAATATTTATTGAAATGGAATTCCTTCTCCAGCTCCAGCAGCTGGGTGTTGGTGTACGCGGTGCGAAGACGTCGGGGCAGGCCGTTTTCTGGAACGAATTCAGCTGCAATTGAGAAATTGCATTTTGTTCGTTTGAGACTTGCGGAGTGAATGTGAATTTTTTTCTTTTTTTTTGCTGTATTTTCTTTCTTTCCTGGTGGTTGTCGTTGTACTTGCAACATGTCCCCGTGTGGGCGTGGCTATGGTACATACGTCAACAGATTGCATTCGTTGTCTGGGAATCCCTATCTCTTCTACCGGTAATCAATCTATCAGCTCGTCGTCAACGGGCATAACTAATTCAAAGAAATCCTCCCAAACTAAACCGGCAAACTTTCGGTTACTTCCAGCCAGCCAGTCAGTCAGCCAGCCACCCGAAAAGTGCAGCTGATACCGCCGCGGCGTAGCAAGTTCTTCGCAAGCGTTTTCCTTCGCGACACTCGCAGCTCGCCGAGCGTTAAGTAATTAACAAAAATCTAATCAATCAATCAGTGGAGAGACGGGCCCACAGCTTGAGTCTGAAGTAGTTGGGCTACCGAACAGAAGCCACAGCCAGCAGAAATGAATCTGCCTCAGGGGGGGAAATGGAAAACTTAATTTAAATAACAAACACGAAATTAATTTTAAGTTTTAAAGACATATTTTAAGGGATATCTCACCCTTATTCATCATAGAATAATAGTTCCCAAAACATAAAATTCAAAACTACTTTGGCAAACTTAAACAACTTCTAATGATGGAGATCCAGAAAAGTTATTTCTGCTCCAACGACCTGGGGCATAAACTCGACTAAAATAAATTTCGTCAAATAAAAATCGCATTGAGTAGTAAAGAAATGCGCATATCATTTTAGGAAACTGAACATTCTGCCGCCTTCTGCGGAACAAACTTCTGCCACCTTATTTGCATTGATGCGATTGCAAAATATATATATAAGTATTTTTTATTTTTTGTCGCTGCTGCTTGGCTTCGATTTTGGCAACAACACACAAATTTCCAGCTGAACGAGCTGCGTAAACGGCGTCTCAATAGCGACAAGCGGCAAAATGGCAAAAGGAAAAGGATCCGATCCAGTGGGGAGTGGAGTGGAGGCTATGGGAGCCAGACATAGACACTGATTGAATTACAGATGCGGGCCCGAGTTCCTTCATCAATACTCGCAAAGCGGATGCCATAAACACCACCTGGTGGGGCACGGTACGGCACGGCACACAGTGCCACATACAGGTCCCATTTCCCTCCTCAGACCAAAGTCGCCATGTACTTGTGTACTTGTGCGAAAAGTGCCCAGATACAGATACGGAATGAAAGCATAAATTTCGCACAAAAGTTGCACCCGAAAACTGTTTACGAGCTAACTGGAGGCAGCAGCCAACGGCATCCAACGAAAACTGAAAAGTAAAGTGCACAAAAGCAGAAAATATGATTTCCTTTTTGGCGACGACGAGCAAAAAGATAATTTTCTAAACCCGAACCGAAGGGCGTGCCCAGAGGCATCCCAGAGGATGCTGCTAAGAGGGAGTGAGTGGGTTAAGTGGGCTGAGTGGGTGGAAGATTCTAGGCAGCCCAAAAGCCAAGTTGAGTGCAATTTCTGCAGCCTGGTCAGAATGGAATCCGAGAGCCACCCAGAAACCCAAAAGCAAATGACAGCTGCCGTGGCTGGCCTTTCTGGGATGCAGGGCGGCTGGCGAAATTACGAAATGAATTTTGTTTTGTCATGGCCCGAGGAGCGAGGGTGTGGAGCCGGGGGCATTGGAAATGTCATCAGCATGGATGAAATGCCGGAAAAGTCAAAATGGAAACTTATCAGCAAACTACCGACCAAGGAGGATACTTTGCCGGAGCTTTTGGATTAGGCCGAAAGGGAAGGACATGCCAGGGATAACGATTTTTGAGAAGAAAGGAAGCCCTGGGAAATAAACTATCAAGTTAAATATTCGAAATCATCACTTGGTTATTATTTGCTCATAAATCTCATCCGGAAAGTGTTTAGTTTTTGGGAGGAAGAGTGGCCTGCACAATGAAATTAATTTTAAAGGCAGAGTCTACAGCTCGGAAACGCCACCAATGATTTACAGTCCTCGGCATGTACTTATTAACTGCTTCAACAGCATCATTTACATGTTAACACTTAAACACACTCGTTGTCCACTAACAGGACCTTAGTCCACCTCTTCCCCTTTGGTGGCAGTGGAAAATTTATGTTTCTATTTTTGGGCGAGCTGGGCAACTAAAAAACCCAAGGAGCAAAGGGATCTACCAGAGCGGAGGTGAGACATTTAACGCATTTGCCGCATTTCGGGCCGAAATTAAAATAAGCGTAAATTTTGCAACAATTGCATAAATGGCCAAGAGTAGAGAACATGGCAAGGGTTTACAAAAAGTGCTCTCATAATCAGGGTACCCAGTAAGAATATTCTTTAGAGGGTCAAGCCCAACTATACCCCACGCATGCCCCAAGAATAAACAGTCCTCTCATGGCTCTTTCCCACTTCCTACAAATATTTTTAGTGGATGGATGTTGGGGACTGCTTTTTTTTGGGCTCGACCATCTCGACCACTTGCACATGACCACAGTCCATAAGGATGCACATTAAGGACATTTGTGGCCAGGCATAGGACAGCGGTCAACAAGGTGGACCCGGACAGAGACACGGGACAGGGATAGGCATGGCCTGGCCAAAGGTGGTTACTGGCCACTGGCAAAAAATGACCTCAATTTATCTTGTAGGTTTTTTTTGTGGGTCTAGCCCCCGGGGGAGGAGGAGAGCCAACTTGCCTTGACTTGGCCTTAAATTATGTGCGAGCTTTGCGGTTGGCTGGCACTTTAAAGGCCAGGGCGATAAGCTTAAGTATCTGCAAGTGCCATGGCGAATTCAATCAAAAAAGGGGAAAAAGACAATAAAAAGTGGGGACAATGGCGGGACGGTTACGTCGGTGACTCGGTAGCTGAAAATGCCAAACTCTGATGCGCTATGCAGTAGAAATTCTCATTCAGCAACACAAAAAGATACAGATACGGCAACAGTCGGAGCAACAGCTACAGATACTACAAATACTAAAGCTTGTGTGTAGCCTGTTGTTGTTGGCCACGAATGCGCAAAGAGCAGAACCATTAATCATTCCAGCCAAAGGAAGACAACAGCCAACAGACATCTGACGACGACGACTACGACGCCGATGTCGTTGGAGCTACATAGTGCTATGGAAAAAGTCAATTTCTCATGAAAACATTTTGTATCTGCATCCACTTGATATGCATTCAAACTAAACCAGCTCAGGCCAACTCATAGATATAGTATAGTATTTTATTGGCCAAGATCTTATACTCCAAGCCAGACCGAATGGGATGTCTTCAATCATTTAATTGAGGGCCTGATTGACATTTATGCGAAAAGTATAACAACATCCTGAATGGCTGGGTTCTTCTGCTAGGAATTAGTTTTAATTAGCAGGCAGGAAAAGGAAAAGGGTTGATGGTTAAGGGCTGGGTGATTGGGTGGCAAGTGGAGAGTGGAGAGTGGCAGGAGATCAAACCACAGGACCCTCAAGCTACACCATTGGTGGCCAGACAAACATTTCCGCTTTCTTTTCAGTTTACCCAACTTTACTTTAATGCCATTACCACCACCGGACCGAGGCTGCCACAGTCGAAAGATAAATTAGAGAAATATATTTAATGACTTTTCATGACCAGCAAATGTCAACAATACGAAACATTTACCCAAACAAACAGCACAACGCAACTAAGCCCCTAAGGATTGTGATCAGGATAGGGAGGAGCAGAGCAGTCTGTGTTTTGCTCCGCTGGAGGTGTGAAAATTTTTGATTAATGTTTAAATATTTTAGGGAAAATATTTCACTCTAACAATGTTTGGAGATATTTTTGAATTTGACTTGGACATGGTTTACAATTATTGCATTTATCCAAGCTTTGTTTGGACTTATCAAAATGTCGTTAGTCTTTGGAGGAAAATAGTTGAAATCAAAACTGGAAAACAATGAAGAAAATTTCGAGTCTCTTTTAAAATGTTTCAAACAGATTTTCTCGCAATTTTCATTGGCTTTCATGAAAGATGGAACCCTGGGAACTGGGAGGTAGATAAATACTTTAAAGCGGTTCAAATTGAAAAACTTTCATCGTGACAGCAGCCCAGCGCAGCTTGTAAATATATACCCGATATTTGTGTTATATATAGTAGGCACAATGTCTTTGAATACAAAGGCCCATGTGTTGAGCAGAGAAGTGAGGGAAAAAGTCTGAAAATATATTTCTTTTCCGCCATGGAAAAAATGAAAGCTGTTTGGTAGAAACTTTTGCCAACGCTTAAGCCAGGTTGCTCCCTCTTCAGAGCCATGTCCTCGTCCTGGCTGGCTGTCACTCAGGCCTGGTGCTGTTTCTTCTCCGGCACATCCTTCACCCCATCTCCATCCCAGCCTGGGCTCAAAATATGAAATCCATCAGGGATGCTAAGAGCTGTCAATCAAAATCAGCGAGGGAAACTTTTTTCCAGCTCGCCCTCTCTTTCGTTCCCATATTGAAAAATTTACATTTCCCGGGCGGTGGGGTGGATTATGTTTTTGCATGTCTGCCAGATTGAAAGCGAATTAAAAATGGGAGACCGACCGAGCAGGAAAAAAAACTGCTTAAAGCCTCATCTCAGTCAATGGAAAATTAATGTCGATTTAAGAGTTTCCCCCCATTGGAAATTGATTTTCATAAAAACAAAAACAAAAACCAAAACTAAACCAAAGCTCGACTCCAATGCGATTACGTTGAAAATCGTCTTTTCAGCTGCTCACTTTGATACTACGTACTTGCCCAGACAATACTTAGTTCCACCCGATCTACGATCTCCGATCTGTGGTCGTCATTGGAATCCCCGGACAGAAGCTGCAATCCTCCAGACCCTAGACAATGACCCATGGAAAGCTCTCTTGGTTTTCGCAAACAATGGACAAGAAAGCGTGCCGACATCGAGCCATAGAAACGAGAATGATTAGTCGCCGCAGTCTCAGTTGCATGAAAAATTATTTAACGAGTCAAGAGCCCCCCCTTACCAC